CACACATACACAAACAAACAATAAACCAAAAACTTGGGACCACAAAACCACCACCACAACAACAACAACAACAACAGCCATCCAACCTCGTGACTCGAAAGAGCTGAGGAACGTAGGACTAACATGATCTAAACAATTTACTACTAACCAGTTGCGGTAGCCATCTCCAGGTGGGCTATGGCAACACTTAGATGTCATATAACTTACCAAAAAACGTTATAAGAGTGAAGAAACATATGTATTTACTTATTTATTAATGTATTTATTTATATGTAAAACATTTTCCTGTGTGTTTACTCTAAGACTAACAGCTAATTTCAAAGCCCAAAAGCGCAGTTTGTTGTTATTACTAAACACAAAAGCGCCAGATGATAAAATTGGGAAGGGTAATTTTTTTTTTTAAACTAACACCCCCCCCCCAAAAAAAAAAGCCACCCAGCCCCACCCACCTGATCGTCCAGCGGCAGCTCACAGAAGCAGGGGATGAGCTTGGCCCACTCCACCAGCACCAGCAGCTGCTGCTTCATCGACTCAGCCACGTCCTCCAGCGAGGCCGCCCTCTTGCTCTGCATCTCCAGCACCGGCACTTGACTCACATTCTGCAAATCAATCTGCATTTGCCCCAATGCAGTTCAAAGGCGAACTCGTTTACAGAAGGATACAGGAGTGCCAAAGCAATCGAGGGTTAAACGTTAAGCCAGGAAAAGCTCCCGTAAAATGGGGAAATGTGTTAGAGAAATGTTAAATGTTAAATAAAAGGTTACTTTATTCGAATTTAAAAAAAAAAAAAATTGGGGGGGGGGGAGGATTTTTCTTAAAAGTACATAATAATTTCTGTTAGTGCTTGTGTAATAATAAAGACAAGCTTCCAATACATATTTTACAAGGATATAAGTAGACAGTGTTAGAGAAAATAAACCTTGTCATGTTCTCTCATGCTCAAGAGATTTCTTTAGAATAGTTTACATGAGGGAACTGCATGCATTACGTTCTTTATTATCTCCACGTTAGATGAATGTCCATATTTGGAGAACGCTAAATGTATTGTCTTGTCGGTCACTAAGATGTTTGGTTTTTCCATGTTTTATTTTTTCGTGTTTTTTTTTTCCCCTGGCTGAGTCTTGCATAATTAGCATTAACCAGCAAGGGGGGTGTGAATCACTTCTCTCATTATCGATATAGCCCTGGTGCTAGACTTTCACTACTGTTTAAACTATGGCGCCATAGTCCAATTAATACTACTTAAAAAAACCCATGAAAAATCAGTGTTGGGAACCCTAATCCCTATCCTTTGGAAAGCACACTTCGTACCAAATGACGTGTGCTTTGTTACAGTATCATAATTATATTCTCAACTGAAATCGAATAAATCCTTTTTATCAATTTAAATTCTAAAGGCCCAATTCTCCACTTAAATATCATAATCTGAAAATATCACACGTTCTGGGTATGAATATTATTTTGGCAGCTTTTTTTTTGGGGGGGCTCATTTTCCCCCAATCAAAGGCAGCACATGAAGCCTCTAAATGGAAACGGGTTAACGCTCCATCTATAAGTAAACATGTTGACAAGAAATAAAGAGTAAAAAGTAACAGGTCTAGACCACCAGTCAGCAGGAATAAATGTTAGGTATACTGACTTTTGTCACTGACAAGAAACATACACAGCTCAAACTAAAGCACTGCCAGTCACTGCAATGTCTCGTTCGACTCAACGATGATACAGCATCAGAAATAAATAATTTTCATTAAAATAAAAAGGACTTTGAGCCGCTCGCAACATTAAAAGGCTTAACTTCAGGTTCTGCTTTGGTTAGAATAAAAGGAAGCAATACTGAACAGAGTTAGGCTGGATTAGAATCTAAAGAATCTGGTTGGAATATTGATGATATGTGGAGTGTGCTGACTAAATGAGTTACTTCTCGGATTAGGGCTCTATGGAAATAGATACATCATGCTTAGAGGTGCACTTTTTATCATTTGTAAGTATGAAATAGCAAAAGGCATTTACTAGTTTATGAATATTGCATCAATAACAAACCTAGAAATTTGACCCAAGTGTCGATTTTTGGTCAATATCTCCATTTGTGGATTGTGAGAAGTAACTCATTTTGTCAGCAAGCCTCACATATATCATTACGTTAAGTCCCCAGGAGATACGTTTCAGTGCATAAAAATAACAGGTGATAATAGTTACTACTTTAATGGAACATATTATGATAGTAAAACTTATTAACACAATTCAACCGAAAGTCTCACTCTGATCATTAAAAACAAAAGAGTAAAATCCCAACCTTAAAAGAATACAATGAAAACGGAGAAAAGCAACGGAATCCAGCACTGGCAGCATCAGGACAAGTAGCCTCCCAAGAGAGAGAGAGAGAGAGAGAGAG